GCACATTCATTCTTCATAACATGCACCTGGGAGACATTAGGGGTTTGAACAATTTCAAACAGGTGACAAATGGAAAACAACAACAACAACAACAACAACATAAACTGTCTCAGTAAGGTGCTGGGCCATGTAGTGCATAATGTAATTTAAACAATTTAATAAAAGTTGATAATGTAATAATCTGCAAGTAATGTAATATTAAACAGTGAGTGCAAAACAATGTTTTTGCACATAATCTACTAAGTTATCACAAAGTTATGACTTTTATGTTAAAAATGTAATAACCTAGCACATCTTTAAAAACCTGCAATAATAAAGGGTTAATACATAAAGGTTCAGTACATAGAGTATTTCTGTTCTATTCGATTTTACAGAACTGTTTCTGTCCCAGCCATCACATTATGAATTCTGTGATCCACCATTTCAACCATTACATGTTTTCAAGTCTAAGGATGTCATTCAAATGCAAAATACCTATGATAAATATTTCCCTTATGAGGGTTTTAGGAGTTTTATGTATTGAAAGACTAAATAATTGTACTTCAGAGATTCCATATAAGCAGTTTATAGACTTTAAAACCAGTGTCATTCACACTGCACATATATGCATTCTTTGTTGATAGTGTGCTTTTTATTTAATGTTGTTGATCTTGTTTTGATTTTTTTATGTACTTTACTGCTCCTGAGTCAAAATAGTTAGAAAAGCTGCCAGGCACTTAACAAAACTGTGGGACAATTCGACAGGTAGACCGGAGAAGCCGGGGATGATCCCTTTTACCTCCTGAGCCACAACCACCCCTTTGTAGTGGTAGATATTCAAGAAAAACAATATTTCACTCTTGGTGGTTTTCTTCAGGATGTAGCTCCATAACGTTTGAAGATATGTCAGCGCTATTGACATATGAATCGGCAGCGTTTCAGAATTTCAGCGAGAATTTGATCTTAGTTGCAGTTATTAAATCATGTGTAGTTATTACATTATGACTTGATACAAACATGCAGTATTATGTTCTGTGCTCACCATTTTATTACATCATTGGTAGATTATTAGATTATTATCTTTTATTACATTCTTTATTACATTATTTGCACTTATTACAAGTTTCTACTGGCCACCATGTGCCACCAAAACAGCATCGGTACACCTTGGCATTGATTCTAAAGTCTCTGAACTCTACTGGAGAGGTGAACACCATCCTTCCTGAACATATTCCCTCATTTGGTGTAATCATATCCAAACAACACTATTTAACCCAGCTGTGGCTCATTGTTTTAGCTATAGTCCCAATGTTTTTATATCTTTTTCTTATTTTCAAAGATATAAGAGCAGACATCACCAAAACTATTCAAAAAAACCTCTGTTTCTCACTCAAACCATTATAGAGTTGCAGATATGGACATAATTGTGTTACAGTGCACTTGTTGTCCAGTATACTGTAGAAAAATGATCAATTTTTAAAATCAGCATAAAGGGAACCTTTTTATTTGGTAATGGGGAGGAGAGTAATGTCAGTATCAGTCAATTTTTCAGTCTGAGTAATGGTGTGTAATAAGTAGGGAAGCGATCATGCAGGGAAGGGATGACTGAAACAGAGCACATGGGAACATTGTCTTTCATTACCACATCACAACAAAGAAGAAAAACCTCATCCAATTAAACATTAGTAAGACTGTCAGCAAATTACACGTAATGACTTCTGTTTCGCTGCAGAACTGCTGAGGCTCATGCCTCCTCAAATGGTGTGCACTGTGCTGAACTGGAAGCAGCTCAGTGGTTGTTTAGCAGTGTCGGCATATACTGCACCGGCTAATTACAGTCATTGGATTTAGAGCACAATGAAGACTTATGTTTTCTTCAAACTATATCATACCATCATCATGCTCTTCTTCCTCCTGCTGAGCACCTCCACTTTGACACTATTATGGGACCAATTCCCATTCAAATGAGCTACTGTGTGTGCATCCTGAGACCATCAGGGGAACAAATTTGCTTTCTTTCAGCTTTGGGGATCAACTTTCCCTTCAAATATAATAAATAAATGAACCCTCTTCCGTCCTTCCCGAGGCATACTGCTTTGTATCTGATTAATAACTTCAGAGGAGCTGATGTAACTGTGGACAGTATCATATTGTACTAAGGGTGTTTTATCAGTGTGAAATCAGACAGGTTTCACCACGTGAAGAATGTCACATTTCTAATTGTGATCAAGTTGTACGTGTGAAGATTGTGCCATACTGTATGCTTGCCTGTCACTCTGCTTTTGTTGACACATTCACTAATATGGATACTATTGTTTAACCAGTGAAACCCCATCCATGATAATTCTTTGTCCTGTCTTCAAGTCTTCAACTTACTCCTTCTCCCTTGTTTTTAACAGATGTGATTAACAGCATGCTGTGTTCTTAGCAGTGTATTGCGTTGCATGTTGTTCTATTGTTCTGCCAACTAGGGACACTACTGCTGCCGTGGCATATCCTGCCTGAGTTCATGGGTATATTGTTATGCTTCCTGTGTCTTCCTGTTCATGCTGCCATGCTTCAGATTACTGGCCATCCGCCACAATACAGTACTCTTAGTGCAACTGATAACCTGAACCATTTGGCTTGAAAGCTTTAGATTTGTGATGAAAAGTTTCCCTTAAGAAAATGTGAATGTGTGGAGTCTGAGTTTGGGGTACATTCTGTGCATACTGTTCTACACTGTGCTTCAGTCTCAGAGTTCAGTGCCACCCTGCACCTGAATCAAGCAATCACAAAGTTCAGCTTCTGATGCAGTTTTGTTGTAAGTATTGTGATACATGGAGTTGATAGACTAGATGACTCTGGCTGACTTGGATGTATGGCATTTATACTTAAATGACTATAAACACTAATACCAGGCAGCTGCGGCATCAGAGGCACTCACCTGCAGTTTCTTCAGGATCTGCTTTCTCTAGTTTAACCTAATTAAAATGTGTTTTGTTCATGTTGTGAACTGATCACAATTGAAATATAAGCCTAAATACACTAACTTCCATCTTAAGACAAGCCTGACTATTGTGTTTTTTTTTCTTTCTGTGATTTCTGAATTTGTCTATCAAGATTGGTGTGTGGTATCTGTTCTTATGGTGTCTTGTTGCTTGCTCTCTGTTTGTCCCTTACTGCTGCTGGAACACTGGAATTTCCCCACTGTGGGATCAATAAAGTTCTACCCTACCCTACCCCTACTCTACCCTAAACATGCTATAAAACATAGCATCATATGTGGAAAATAGTTTTGTGCTTGAATAATATATTCTGGCCAGCAGCCACAACACACAGGTCTTCAGGTACAGCTGTGCGTATGTGTGTGCTGTACCTGAGCTTGAATTTATAACATATGGACTACATGATAGCATCAGTGTGTGCTCTGTTTTCATAGTAAGTAAGTCCTGTACACACACCTGCACACATCGTTTGAACCTGCCTTCCAAAGGGGGAAAAATCTGTGAACAGGGCAGGAGAGTGAGAGTGAGGCACTTGGATGAATAAAGAAAAATGCACTTGCACTGAGGCTGGCACCAGTGCACACTCCTCTCTGCATAGAGACAAAATACACAAGCACACCCTGTTGAGACCATCTGTGAGAGACATGTTATTGAGGGCACAGGTTCAACTCAGTCTTTCAGGTTGCAAGCTGCAAGTGCATCCTATCATCCACTTCAAAGTACACGTAAATGTATATATATATATCACTACACCATAAATCAGAAGAGTAGTGGGGGAAACAAGAACTAAAAGAACAGAGTATGTTCTGTACTGGAGGATAACTGGATTTACCTGTCAGTAAATGCAGCAGTTTGGCTGCTTTTCAGAATAAAGTAAGCCATTTTTGTCATACTAGAAATAACAGAGATATGTATTTGTGCTGACAAATACATGTACTGTATGTGATGTGCTTGTATAAACTTTACTGTGCATAGTTTGTCTTGCAAGCAGTGAAAGAGACACTACAGACATGGAGTAAGAGAAACTAGAGTGAGAGGTGGAAATATCAACTGAGCAACTAAAAGCCCACTTAGGTAATCAATGGCCTCAAATGAACGTTTTATTCTTGCCAATTGAAAATGATAGAGTTGACAATGACCTCAGTACCACAACGCCACTCAACATGCCAGAGGAAGAGAGGAGACTTCATTGGTGGCTGAACTTGGATCTTAACCTACAGGTTTTACAGCATACTGTATAAAAACACATCCCCACAACTCTCTAACTCAGAATATTTGACTTTTTTCTATCCCAAACTAAACTAAAGTCGGTCTTATGGGAATAATAAGCCAAAACAAAAGTACTTCTCTATCACTCTCCACCAATGTTCTTTAAGCAGAAACAAATCTTTCAAACCCAGGAAATAATCTGCTCTTATCTATAGGTAGGATATGGCACAAAAACTCAATTCAGGCACTTGGGTGGATGGTTCATAATAAAATGCCTTTAATAAATATGGGCCAACACCTTAAAAAGCCACTACATTAGTCACTATGGTCCAGTTTCCAGAAAAAGGACAATTTATAAACCACTCAACAGCTACTTTTCAGTCCGTTTTCATCTCAATGTGTACAATGAATCCTAGAGGTCATAAGAACCAATCACAGTTAAAAAAAATTATGAGCAACTAATGTCAGTTTGCCTTCACTCATTAACAGTGGAGCCTCCACAAATGCTTACATAGAGTTCACTTCCTGAAAAACATTAATTAAATGAGGTTTTCATAAAGGGACATGAAAATACTGAGCCCTACAGCTGCACCTGCAGTCCACACAGCCTAGATTTCCTTGCTATGTTGTGCTTGTTTGTAGCTTATTCTCTGTATCTTTGTAACAATTATAATAACAGTTTCAGTTTGGGGTGAACTGTTCAGTAAACCATGAGCTAGCAGAAAGTATGACTTCCATAAGGAAAGACCAGACAAAACTGTCCTCTTCCTCATGCTGTTATAAAAGCACACACACACAGTCCTGGAGAAAAGAAAAGGTTCCTACCTGAAAAAACACAGCCATGGCTGCGATGATCCTCCTCTCCCTGAGTGCTGCGCTGAGGCTATCGAAGTCGTCTGAGTTATACATGTAGATCTGCATCTGTGAAACACAGGAATACTGAATTAAACATGGGACTACACTGAAAATTATACCTTCATATTACATTTAATGAAAATATCACAACACATTAGCTGACAAGCAAATGGAGTAATTTGGCTCAGTTTGCGAATTTTTGCTCAGCTTTGGTCCAGGCCACACAGTTAGTTTATGTCAGACATAACATTGCAGTCCATGTAGCATTTTAGTGACAAGTTGTTAAAATTCACACAACTAGAACAGTGTGTGTGGGGGAGGGGGATCCATCCATTATTTATACTGCTTATTCTGATGAGGGTCATGATGGGGGTGCTGGAGCCAATCCCAGCTGGCACTGGGTGAGAGGCGGGGTCCACCCTGGACAGGTTGGTAGTCTATCACAGGGCTGACACATAGACAAACAATCACACACATTCACACTCACTCCTACAGGCAATTTAGAGTCACCAGTCAACCTAAGCTGCATGTCTTTGGACTGTGGGAGGAAGATGGAGTACCCAGACAGAACCCACACAGGCACAGGGAGAACATGCAAACTGCACACAGAAAGGCATCAGGTCGGTCTGGGCTTGAAAGCAGAACCTTCTTGGGACAAACTAACCTTCTTTATTGATCCCTCAATGGGGAAATTTCAGTGTTTCAACAGCAATGGAGAACAAGCAACATAACACCATGAGAAACGAACACCACACACTTATCTTGATATAACAAATTTCAGTACCTCAAGCAGCAATAGATATTGGTGTGTGAGCACATGTGATGTAGTTTCACAGACAAGGCAGGAGTGAAGAGGAGCAGAGGGAGAACAGGATGGGATAGTGCCTGACTGTGTTTTGATTCTCATTAACTCTAACAGTTGAATAGCTAGTGGGTGAAAGTTAGTTAGAGCAGCTTTAAGAATTGACACCTAGTTAAGAATGAAGTATTCTTTTAAGTCTATGACACCATTAGGGCATCCATATATAAACACCAAGTCTTTGTTCACCTTTATGCAGATGACAGATAAATCTCAGTTATCCAAGTAACCTGCCTCCAGCATCATGGTCTATATACCAGCTTCAGTAAATCCTGTATATTATTTGTTCAGTCTGTTTTTCATCAGTCCAGGAACATGTCTTTTTGTGAAAAATGTGAAAACTGTTTTTCATATTTTCATCACATCCTCTATGATTCCCCCTGCTGTTTGAATGTTCACAGTCCTGCCTAGAGTAACAATGAATTCAAATATTCTAGCAGCTCCTTCATATGAAGAGGCTCAGTTTTAATCACATTTGAAAATGATGGAAATGCTGTGGAAACACATAGAAAACATCAATATTTTAGTGAGATTTATGAGAGTAATACAGAATAAACAAGCTGGTATCCTCTGGTATCAACAGCTCTGAACTCTGAAAATCACTGCTTATTCTGCATTTTCATAAATGCACAAATGAAAAAAGAGACTGAAGAAATTAAAAAGAGGGCTTATATACTGTATATACCACTGGTGATGCAGCGTTCAATAGTAAATGGGTGAACTCTGACCTCCAGTCAGTGAGCAAACCATCCAAACAACTGTGGATTTGAAAATGCTGTAGACGAGTTATTTATTTTCAGAGAAACAGTTTTTGGGTTGGCCTCCTTTCCCTCTTTTGGTGCTTAGGTAGGTGTTACGTCTGTGACTTGGGCCGCCCCATGTACCTCGGTAGCAGGCACAGGTAGCAGCTCCGCCCCCCCACAGGTGAGGGTGCATTCCAGGCGACGAGGCACACCTGCTCTCCATTATTGGAGCAGTATATAGGGTCAGCGTTGGTGCGTCCTCGTCGCCAGATTATTATGTATTATCCTGGTGGTAACTACGTTCCATGTTCATGTCAAAGTTTATGGACCATTGTTTGAGCTACGCTCCTTCGGCAACATTGTGAACTATTATTGCGCATTATTCTGTGGTATCGGTTTTTGTGCCCTTCACACGTTTAAAGGGGTTTTTGGTTTTTGGACTGCTTTTTGTGAATTGCTCCACCTCTCAGAGCTCCTAGGCTATCCTGGAACAGCGCCACCATCCTACGTCGCACCGCTCAGCTACCAACGCTGCCTCATCAGGGGACCCACACACCGAACCCGAGATCTCTGGCACCAGTCTCCTTCTCCCTGGATTACTCCCTGGGCCTGCGGCGCACTCAGCTGTTCAGGTCCCCAGAGTGACTACCAAAAACAATCTGTACCATACCTGCTGCTTGTTCTTACACTCTCTTTCTGTTCTTATTTAGCGAGCAACGCCTCTCATTCACCCCGGGAGACAGTAGTCCAGTCAACTCAGTGTGCCCAGCTGCCCCAAGATCAGCGGACGAGACCGGCTCTGTTTTGTTTGTTATTTTTGGAGCATTAAATACGTTTTCCTGTCTACCTGGGTTCGAATCTGCATATTTACTGGGTCCTAAACAACTCACACACAGCTTAACGTAACAGTAGGTTTAAATCTATAAATATGTCCTGAATGTCAGTCCACCTAGGAATGTTTGTTTTGTTGTACTTTTAACAGTTAGGGATTACAATACCTTTTTTAGTTCTTTACAACCAGTAGATAAATTCCCATTCAATTTGCACTGGATACTTGCACAGTTTGCAGTATTTCCCGTGTTTGAGAGACTCAGCCAACACAACAAAACCAACACTTTCAACTTCTTAGATCACCTCTGTGCTACACTGCCTGTGGCACTCAAACCCAGCCCCTGTTGCATGGTTAACAAAATGTTTTTTATTGGCACAGTCATTTTCTAAAAGAGTTGGGAACTGTATTTTTTAGCAAATGTTAATGAATTAGCAGTAAAGATTGCATTTAAATGGAGATTCCAACATGTGAACTTAAATCACAAGATTTGGTCTTGAGTCGGTCATGGACCTTGTGATTTAATTAAGACTCGACACCCCCGACCCCTCAAAAGAAAAAAGAAACTTCAACTTTGAATGACTATGAAATAAATAGATTAAAGATTCAAACAAGTGCGATAAAGCTACACAACTAATTACTTATTCATTTTAGTAGATATACAGTATACTCAAATGTGTCTTTCAGCAGGGAGTCATCTTGTGCAAACAGGAGAGGAAATAACTTTTGGCATTGCACATACATTGACTGGCCAAATTAAAAGCCACACCTGTACAGTTGTATGCTCTTCAATGCAACACTGGACTACATTATAATTCAGAGGTGTTCCTAATATACTGACCCTCTCATGTATGTAGCTAGGGAGGACAAAAATATAAAGACACCTCTAAATACACTGAACAAAATTATAAACGCAACACTAAATTCAATTATATATTTATTATTGAGGTCATAGTTAAAGGTGGTGTTGTACTGGACTACATTATACACTGAACAAAATTATAAACGCAACACTAAATTCAATTATATATTTATTATTGAGGTCATAGTTAAAGGTGGTGTTGTACTGGACTACATTATACACTGAACAAAATTATAAACGCAATACCACTAAAATGTGCAGTTTTACTGTATCAGGAGGGTCCAAAAACCAGTCAATATCTGGTGTGACCACCATGTGCCTCACACAACGCAGCACATCTCCTTCGCATAGAGTTGATCAGAATGTTGACTGTGGCCTATGGAATGTTGGTCCACTCCTCTTCAATGGCTGTGCGATGTTGCTGGATATTGGCAGGAACTTGAACACGCTGTCGTATACGCCGATCCAGAGCATCCCAAACATGTTCAATGGGTGACATGTCCAGTGAGTATGCTGGCCATGCAAGAACTGGGATGTTTTCAGCTTCCAGGAATTGTGTACAGATCCTTGCAATATGGGGCTGTACATTATCATGCTGCAACATGAGGTGATGGTCGTGGATGAATGGCACAACAATGGGCCTCAGGATCTCATCACGGTATCTCTGTGTATTCAAAATGCCATGAATAAAATGCACCTGTGTTCGTTGTCCATAACATACGCCTGCCCATACCATAACCCCAACACCACCATGGGCCACTCGATCCACAACGCTGACATCAGCAAACTGCTCACCCACACGATGCCATACATGCTGTCTGCCATCTGCCCTGTACAGTGAAAACTGGATTCATCCATGAAGAGAACACCTCTCCAAAGTGTCAGACACCATCAAATGTGAGCATTTGCCCACTCAAGTCGGTTACGACGATGAACTGCAGTCAGGTCAAGACCCAGATGAGGACGACGAGCATGCAGATGACCTTCCCTGAGACGGTTTCTGACAGTTTGTGTAGAAATTCTTTGGTTTGTTGCAGCAGCTGTCCGGGTGGCTGGTCTCAGACAATCTTGGAGGTGAAGATGCTGGATGTGGAGGTCTGTGGTTGTGAGGCCGGTTGGATGTACTGTGTTGGGTAAAATTATTAACAAAGTCATACTTTAAGGTTGATTCTAACATTTGATTGAATTAGGAACTTAATTAGTAGAAGATTGACACTATGTTTGTTGATTAGTCAACCTGCGTGTTTACTTTGTTTGCGTATGATTATTCTATCATAGTTAAGATTTAGTTTATAGCACACATAAGTTTACCTACTTTAATCTTACAGTTATGTATATGTAGTTACATGTCACCCTATGTGTTCACTGAATCACTGGTCAGTATTTACTGTGTCAGTCAACTGGATCACTGTTTAACATCAAAGGGGGGACTGGTTCACTAAAACACTGAATTTCATTAGGTTTACAGCTTTGACAAGGAGGGTCCATCGATACTTTATTATCACCACCTGGCTGAAGAGGCCAGGGAATTTGGGGTCACTGGGACACCAAGGGTAATAAACAGAGATTAGATCTAAAAGCCAGCAAGAGGAAGACAACTTCAAAGGCAGGACCATATACAGACACACACAGGCAAGACAGTTTATTTAGCCAAACGGAAAGCCATGTCTCATAAAGTATAGTTAGTTAGTAACTAGGAAAGAAGTGAGTGTAGGAATTTAGACAGAGTAGAATTTCTTCCCTTTTTAGGAAGCTGCCTTTCCCATTGGAGCA